AGTCAAGTACCAGTGTAATATTTGCACTGTACATTTAAAAATTTTTTGCAAAGGAACAGAATATATAGCTCCCCCAATGGTTCCAATAAAACAGAGGAATTCAAGGAAGTGTTCTCTGAAAGGGGTATATTCTTCTCTTACAAGTGGAGCAATATGCTCCAGTATCTCTAAGGTCTTTACTTCAATTGTTCTGAGTTTTCCTGAAGGGAAATAAGACTCTTTGCAATAATAAGGGGCCATACCTTTTCCTACTTCTCTAAGGGGGGCATGTTACTAGGGATATTAGAGATTTTCCCAATGGGTTGGGGTTTATGGGGGCAGTTGGGACGGATGTGACTACTTTGTTGCGCGGAAGCAGACGACAGGCTTGCCTTTTCTCCCTGCTGACGTTGCAAATGGTGTCGTTCTGGTGGTGTCTCTCTGGATATTGTTGTCGAGATGCACCATGAGTAGTTTGCCTCTCCGCAGGTGGACTATATGTTGAGAAGCGTGGCTCACTAGGTGACTTAGTTGGTGACGTAGACGTTCTCCCTCGGCTGGGACTCATTCTCCAAGGTTGACGATCTTGCTCATGCCAGGCTTTTTGAATAGAGAGACGGGGCTGCTCGGACAAGGAGCGGTTAGTTTCGAAGGTTTCCCGCCCAAACCCGGCTGCCTCCCAAAGCAGTGGTTAAGTCACGATCCTGCAGAAAGACTCGAACCTCTGGTCCCACAGACTCCAGCAGGTTATCAATCAGAATAAGCTGTACCAGCTCCTCAAAGGTTAGAGACACCACTTGCTTTATACCAGCTGGTTAAAGCTTTGGTTTGCTGTCTCACAAAGTCCATAGGGATTGACCAAGCTGCCGCCTGCTTAATTAAAAAAAATTCTATATTTTGGGTGGGTTTCACTGTGGTCTTCACTACTTGATAATCAGAAAATTCAGCGTAATTTAATTTTGACGTAAATTCCTGTGCCTTACCCAATAATGCTGTATGAACCAACGATGCCCAATGCTGTTCCGGCCACCTCAAGGCTCGAGGGCCCGATTTTCGAAAGCTTTCGAAAAAATTGTTCTGGTTCGGCCTCATTGAAGCGGGGAACAAGCTGTACTGCTTTTTGTAAACTAAAATCATTTACAAAATGCGAAAAAATGCCTCCTTTCCTTTCCCCATCAAATTTCCCTTGCGAATGCTCTCTGTTCCCTAGTTTGCTCAAGATTGATTTTTGCCAGCTCAAGTGCCAACGATTGCTGATTCACCCTGAGACAACCCAGCTGCACTATTTCTGCCATTTTGCTCCGTAGGTGTATCATCTTCCTCGTGCGACAACATTGGAGTTTTTGCCCTAGCTCCGTAGAGGGAGGAGTTGATGTGCCATCTCTTCTTCTATAAGTTTGTCAGCAATCAGTGAACGCAGTTGCGCGTGTGAGAGTGCGTTTGTATTTAATGCCAATGGAACGAGCAATTTGCCAACAAGCTGTAGGGACAATTTAGGTAGGTTATGCAAAGTATATGCTGACACCAGACGTTTTGACTCGTTAGGTGGCATAAGTTATTCGCTATGCCCCAGTACGATTGCAGAATACCCAACGTAAAAACGTTAATTTGCAGAACACGCTTTGCTATGCACAGTACGATTGCAGAATACGCATACAAGCAAAGCCGACTGCAAAATTCTCCACACCGAAAAAGGCTAAATAACAACTGACACGCAAAATTTGTAAGCAATGCCAGACAGCTACATGTTCTAGAAGATTGACCGTAGCGAAGCAAGCAACACCGAACAGCTGGTAGCGGGGCTGTTGAACGATCACACAATAGCAAGGCTGACCTAACAGTAACTGACAAAGCAAAATTTGTAAGCATAGGCAAAGTAATGCAATTTCCAGACAGCAAGCTGCACAATGTTCCTGCTACGAGCTTCACCCTAAGCTCAAAACCGTTTCTCTAAGTCCAGCTCCAGCTCTCAGACAGGCTACCCATATTACAACCCAGGATTCCAAATGGCCTGTTATCCCGGGTGTAATGGGAGCAAAATAAACACAGCAGAAAAAGTTTAGAACAGCAATATGTACACTATTTTACAGTGATAAGTTAGTGCACTCCACGGTAAGCAAGGCAAAAATTTGAAGCCACAAGTTTAGCGGGACCGTGCTTCAACCAGCTCTAGAATGGGAATGACAAGGGCAGACAGGAGAGCGGTACCCACATAACCTCTGCGATTGCCAAAACCATCTTCTTATTGGCTAGAACCTGGTCACTAGTTGAACGACGGGGCCCCATCATCAACTCTTAGCAACCTGGTTCGCTGGTTGGGGGAGATAGCCTGTAAATGAGGGTGTGTACATGCGCCGAATAAAGGTTACATACTCTTGTCATGCCACAGTCGACTAACACCCAGGTTTACATGAAAAAATGCCTGGAACTAGTGCTCATATTGGTGAATTTAAGGCCAGCAAAGGTTGATTTGAGAGATTTAAGAATTGTAGTGGCATGGCATGGTGAAGCTGAAAAATTCCAACCCCAACAAGTGTTCATTTGTGACGAAACAGGCCTGTTCTGGAAGAGCTCAATGGACGATTTTGGTGTGACAAGAGGTCCAGTGACTCTCAAATGTTCCCAAATTAATACACCTCCATTTCCCCTCCTCCCATTCTCATCACTCATCACTACATCTTCAATAACGGTAAATGTCATTTATTCTTAATTTATTTACAGTACAGTATTTATTGTGAAGTATCCTTTTTCTGTGTAGGAAAATGTATATTTCATGTGAAATTTTTTTTTTCATACTTTTGGGTATATGGAACGGTTTTAATTTGGTTTTCCCATTATTTCTTAGGGGGAAAAATTTTAATTCAACAAACGAAAAATTCGACTAAACAACTCTTTGGAACGGATTAATATCATTGGTCAAGGGTCCACTGTAGTAAGATAGTAGTAAAATATAATGACTTTTGTAGTACATACAGTTTTTAAAAAAAATTTGCTCATAAATTACCTGTTACATAAAAATTACGTAGTGTCCAGTGGTACCCGAGTTTCATACGGCTCCCAATTTCGAACAATTATGTAAGCATTAATTGTAATTTGGCTTTTGTAAGTGTTTTTTTGGGGGTCTGAAATGGACTAATCTAATTTACATCATTCCTTATGGGAACAAATTATTCGGTAACGGCACTCGAACAGCCTTCTGGAATGAATTATGGCTGAAACTTGGGGTACCACTGTACTTATATAATTTCACTATTTAAAAACAGTACTTGTTTATCTTGGGGGTCAGGAATAGTGTTTAGGGCAGCAGAGAAAATGGAAGCAATTCTACATGCCCACAAATGGGCTGGACAATCTATTAAGATAAAGTGAACTTATAGTACAACTCAGTCCTCACAGAGCAGTGCCGGGCATTTTTCCATGAGGTGTCCATGAGTGAGGCACACGTGGCCAATATGTAAATAGGAGAGTACAATCTCCCAAACACAACAGCAGTGTGAAGATGGCCGGGAACCTAAATGAGGTTTGACCGAAAACGGTTGTGCACCAATCAGCCCTAATGCTTTTGGGACAGCAGCTGCAGAGTTGTTGAGAGATCACTGAAAATATTTGGAGTAAGGAATACCCCTGTGAGTAATTAAAGAGATTATGAAACGCTGACTAAGCAGTTGAGTTTGCTTGTTCATTACCCTGAAATCACTGTCCCCAGGGACTCAGCAAAAAAACCTACTCTGTGCATTTACTAGAAATCCGGCTTGACCGAAGTTGAAGTGAACAATGATGTGGTGAAGTGTGTTGAATTTTGGGTAGTCTACAATGCACTTTGAGGAATCTGAAACAACTATGAATGATGAGGCAAACATTGAGCAATGTGCGTTGATAGCCATGAGATTTATATAGAAGTCGGCTGTGATAAAATTTGAAAAACAAAAAATTTTACATCAGTGAAATTAATACAGTAACTTGATTTGCCCATGTAGGGTAAATAAAAGTCAGTGCAATGAGGGAAGTACAGTGTAGTGTTACAGTCTCCTAGTGAATTTTTTTTTTTTTTTAATTTTTTAATATTATTAGGTGACATTATGATGGTCCCTCTGACAATATTATACTTTTTGTTATACATTTGTTGGTACTTCTGGTTACTACAGTAACCATATCTTAGCCCTCTCTCTTTTACTAGGGACGTGAATCCAATTATTTTTCGCTAAATAAATATGTGAATATTTTCTCTGGTGTCATGTTTGGTAGGTGTTTTCCTTGTTAACCTCTTAGTCATTCACACAGAGTGCTTAGTACTGTTTTATCATATCCCAGCTCCTACACTTGTATGTTATAATGCTAGAAGTGCAGTGCCCCCCTTTGTTCTTGATCTTTATCATGGGAGTTTGATTATGCATCCTGATTTCCCCAGTCTGTCAGCTTTCCTTACCCAAATCTCCACGTTGTTTTTTTTAAATATAAATTGATGATAAGTAGCACTTTAATTATCCACATACCCTTTGGTAATATTCTGAAAAACATTAATGCACCATTGCACTGTTTTTCACATCTTATTTTCTGTTCATGTGTAATTTTTTTTTATCAGAAATCATCATTTCTTATTGCCAATTTGCTATTACTTTATTGCATTATAATCATTTGCTATATTGCAATGTATGTAAAACAATTCATAGTATTACCCTTGTAATATTTCTAATGCTTAGTCTTCACAGACCTACTTCATTGCACTAGTTGGGAATGTTGCAGTTCAACAAGTTATTGAAATTGTGATTTCTGTGCTCTTCGGGCATAACATCTACTGAATAATAATGGTGAATGTTTTTTTCTGTTTTGAGTCCCCCTACTTTGGTAGGAGGCAGCAGGTGTGTTAAAAAATTAAATAAATGTGAACTCTTTACAATTAAAGTTTAATTTGATGGGGGAAAAGTTATAGGAAATTACCAGCAGTTAAATTTTAAGCAATGCTTTTAGTAAAAAGGAGATGCAACCTTTTTTTATTCTTTATGTTCTTTATTTTATTGTAGGTCACCGAATGATGTTTCTGGCAACAGCCTTAATGAGGTAGCTAATGGAGGAGCCCTTGTGGGGCATGAAGAGAATGGGCACTCCCAGGTAAAAGATCCACTGTCAGCCCTTGCAGCTGCTGCAGAACTTGACCAAGTTCGTAATGATGTTGCAGTGGTGAGTTTTGCAGTGAATAAACGATGTCTTGTACTTTCTTAATCACATGTGAAATAAGTTATGGGTAGTATAATAATTATTATGTAAAAATTATCTTATTAAATGGCAAATAAACAGGTACTCCAGAGACAGCAGTAAAGGCATGATGTGGGAAAATTTAAAAAAAGAAAATATCTTAGTTTAAGAGAGTTCATTTTTAATTGTTAAGACTAAAATGGGTGTAATTCTGACAAAAAATTGCCATTTTATGATGTGTTGAAGCTGGCTGAAATTAAATGCGCTGTTGAGTTTGTACCAAACCACTGTTGTTTCCTTTGTATGTATTGCTTGAAGAAAAGTCTTCCTCTGAATAAATCAGGAATCACGTAAAACAATGTTTTTTTGAACGGTAAAAGTACTCGTGAATTTTTATTTTGTTGAGCCAATCATCTCTCTGGAGATTGCTTTGATCAGAGAAATGCAACATATGCAACAACAACAGAAAGTGATCATTGATCGTGAATTTCACTGAAAACTGGTGTTGCTACAAGTCTACACTGCGTACTTTCTGTATTATTCTTATGGGGGGGGTGGGCATAACATTAGCATTACAGATAACAAATACATCTCTGCAATTTGGAGTGTCCTTCCATTGTCAAAGCCTTCATTTCAGTGAAACATAAGAGTTGGCCACCTTTGTACTTGTAATACAGCCTCTCCTCACTTAATGATGGATTTTCCGTTTCTGAGAGTATGTCGGTAAACAAATTTGTTGCTAAGTAAGGGGAGCATACTATAATGGCTGTAGGTTAGTTTTAAAACCATCTATGATATTGTTTTAATGCCACCTTTGCACCATTTAAAACATTTCTAGTTATTTTTTAAATGTTTATACGTTGTGTACTTTTACATTGTAATAAACAGAATAAAGGAAATCAGTTTAAATGTACATTATTTTAGGTATGGTACTGGTCAGAGAGCCTGTCATAAGTCCGAGTCGTCAGTAAACGAGTTCATTCAGTGAGGAGAGGTGTAGTTATTTTTTTTGAGTAGCAATTATGTTATCAGTATATCATCGAAGAATAACGGGAAGTAGTCAGTTTCAGTGGAATCATCTGTTTAGGACACTGGCTAAATTGCATATTACTTCATCAAACTGTGAAACATTTGGCACAAATTAAGTATTTTCCTGCCAGTTCCACACCCTGTTGGTCTAAGGGTATACAGTATTTGCCATTGGTGCTAAAGCTCATGGTGTTGTCATGCTAGTGGCATTGTCACAGCTGGTGTCGCATGGTGTTGTTGCTGATGTTTGTGTTTTCACTGGTAGTGTTGTCACAGGTGTTCGTGTTTGGCATGGCTGGTGCTGTTGTCACTGCTGTTATTTGTGTCACAGCTGTTGTTACAGCTGGTGTTAGCTCTGCATGTTGTTTTAGGATACCAATGAAGCACCATCAATGTCACAATCATGATTGTTTATTTCCTTCAACATTAACATGCTCTTCTAGATGTCTTTACCATAGAATTATGGTAAAGAAGTCGGTGTAAGTATGGTTTATGTATGTAAATAAATTTTAGGAATGTAAAACAATGCAGATGAGTGTTTAAGTTTATTAAAATTCTAAATATTCAGACTGCAATATCATTTAGATCCTTTATGTAGCCCTGAGGTTGATATAAATTGTCATAATTGTGAGTGAGTTGGCCAGACTTGAATTCTGGAGGTGGGAAGTACCTTGTCTGCCCTTTGAAGGATGGGTGGGGATGTTTTGGTTTTTAGGGTTATTTGAATTACAGTATATCCATTCATTTCTGACAAAACATCATTGAATTAATGTTGATCAGTGTGTTTCCTGGTTGTGGTCACTCTCCCTGGGGGAAGGGGACCACAAAGAGGGTGACCAAAAGAAATGAGTTGGAAACTTATTACCTTTTAGTGTTTATGTTTCTAAAGGTTGAACATATGATGGAAGAAACCAAATACAGTCACCTGGCCAATGAGATGAGTGGTGCTGAGCAACAAGGTGTTACAGTAATGGCAGAGGATCAAGATGGGATGCATCATGGTGTTGTAGAAAATTTACAGATGGAAGTAAGTATTAACCAAAGCCTTTTATTATAGAAATGTAGCTATTTCATTCAGTATTTTATCAAATTGTAAGATTTTGATACTAATGTAGTCTATGATTATATAGACTAATTGTTTAATTGTGGACAGTATCTGACAGTCCAATTTATATTTTTAATGTTAGGTAAAAGGGCACAGATCCAACTAATATGACTTTTAATTGTGGCAACATTTTGCTCTCCAGGAGCTTTATCATTTGCTATCATTATGGTATGTACACACAGTACAGTATTTATTTTTAGAGATGTTAATGGTACTTGGTCTTTACAAAAATTATTCTCATAAATTTTTGTTTTGAACGATGACACATCTTTGCATATTTAATGATTCATTTAAAGTTTAGTTGTTCATAACATTATTGTGCTTTAACTTTGTCTTTAAAATGTTATCTTACAAACATTTCCAATCTTCAGTAGTTTTGCCACAACAGTGCCACAGAGTGTCACTAGTAACTCATCTTTTACCATTTCAGTGGCAAATATTATTGGCTTTATTCTCAGCTAAGACATGGGTCCTTGAGACTATGAAAGCTTCGGGTGTATCTTGTGAAGTGCGTGCTAAGTGAGCCATCTGTAGGGAGTACTGTATTCACTTTGAAGGAACCTCAGGCAGAGGATCCTGACTTAAACTGTGCAGTACTGTACTTTAATTTTTGTAATAGTCACAAGTATGGTACAAAACAGTTCATCCCAGAATTGAGTAATGCAAAAAAATAGTTCTGAAAACCCTAAATTAAGGAAGGGCAAAATGCAGTATAGAATTATTTTGAGAGACTGTCCTAATCTTCAAATCCCCAATGATTCATGCAGAATAGAAATGAATACTGTGTTAATGTGAAGGAAGAAGATAAATTTAAAAAAAAAGAAGAGAAAATAAGAATTAATAAGTTTTAACTTAACTTTTATTTGAAAAAGTCATAAAAAGATACTAATTTTAAAAAGCAAAATACTTATGATTAATAAGGATTAAGATTTCTAAAAAAAAATTGTTGAATTATAAATGTGTAGTACAGTGCTGCATAACAAATTTTAATGTGTGGAAAAGGATTTGATAAGTCATAATTCACCTTTCATCAACATTAGATAGTAGTGTATTATAATCATTTAAAAACAGTAATTATCCTTTAACCTTGCTAATTATTATTTTTGTCTAAAATGCAATTTTTTAATTTAATCATACATCAATTACTAATGTTTCCATGACAGGAAAAGGTAATGCCCATGACACTACTCCCTTTTAGCTCCATTTCTACACCCTGATGTTCCTGATGGAATGTTCTACAACGAAGTGTATCATTACCTTAGTTCTGGTACCTTCCCCAGAAGGTGCTACAGATACTTAAGGAAAAAGTCATCAAGAAGCGAGCTACAAAACTACTTGGTTAGTCGTTCTTTTTTATGGAATGATAGAATTATTATTGAAAGAGTTTAGGGTAGGATGGAAAATAAGTTTTTTTGAGGGAAAAAGAAGGATCTAGGAAGGAGTATGATTTCTGTAAATGAAGAGTTTCCATTGAAGTTTTAAGTGAACTATACTTAGATAAGGTAAGGAATTCTTTCTCTTATTTATGGATTTAGCAAAAGCATATGATAGAGTAGATAGGAAAACATGTGGCAGATCTTGCAAAAAGTAAGGAATAGGTAATACATTGCAGATAGGTTCAGGTTAGGGTATGTATGAGGGGGGATAATATTTTCCAGTTAAAGAAGACCTTACACAGGGGTGTATGATTTCACCATGATTGTTGACTATTTCTAGATGTGAATGTAGGATGTTGGGAAAGGTGTGGGATTAAATGATAATGAAAATGATAAGGGGAGGTTGTCATAGTGTTTCCTTGCCTTGATACAATTTATTGTGGGAGATTCTGAAAAAAAAAAAAAAACTGTAAAGGTCAGTGGAGGTATTTTGGATGTTATGGGAAAAGAAGGAAGAAGTGATTACTGAAAGGAAAAAGGTAATGAGAGTAAAAAAAAATTTTTTGCAAATGAAAGACTGGATATCAAAATAGTGAGTATGGAGAAAAATGAATGTATCCAAATATTTGGGAATGGTCATGTTGTCTATGAAAGATGAGGTGAACCATAGAAAATTTTTGAGAACCAAAAAAAGGGTAGGTGGTGTGTTGAGCTCTTTTGAAAGAAAATTTTTTTTTTTGGAGGCAAAAAGGAAAATGTACCAGAGTATAATGGTATCAACCCTTTTTTGATGGTACCCCATTATACTTTGGTACATTGTTGCTGCAAGGAAACTGAAGGGGGGTGTAATGTATATTTTAGATTAATGTGCGAGTCAAAATATTACACAAAGAGAATACAGAGATATAAATCAGAAAACAGTTTAATTCAGAGGGTTCTTGAGGTGGTTCAGACATTTAGAGAGGGTGGAGCAGAAGAGGTGACGAGGTTTAAATCTTGGATGGAAGGAAGGTGTGGGGATCATCCCAGGAACATTTGAAGAAAGGGGGTAAACAAGGTTTTGAGTGCTAGGGGGCTTGAGCATACAACAGGCTTGTGTGAATATGTTTTGATTGGAGTGAATAAAAAAAAGTGATTTTTTTTGTGGCTTGAAAATGCTTTTGGAATGTGTGCTAGGTAACATTGTAACATTTATGAAGGGATTCAGGGAAAAAACCCGTTAGCCAGACTCTAGTCCTGGAGGTAGGAAGTACAGTGCCTACACTGAATGAGGTTGGGGATACTGCAGTTTGGAGAGTCATTTGAAGTGTAATGTCTGTGCAGTTCTGACAAGACAGCCATTGAATGGGTGATGTTAAATGCATTTTCCTGTTTTGGGTTGCCTTACTGTTGTGGAAGTGGCTGGTGTGTTAATTTTTTTTTTTTTTAACAAATGTGCCTGAAATTGTGCTTTACAACTCATGTATTTTTATAAAATTATGATACTTTTATAAAAAATCTAAGACAGAAATACGATTTCTTTTACATACAGTATCTATTTCTGTTTATATTTTTTGGTAATTTTTTTATATTTAAACTTTTTTCTTATGGAGAAAACAATTACTCTATGAGATAAATGAAGGAAGGGCGACTGTCATATGGTCAAAAGGATGCCTAAAGAGGTCATAAATAGTGCTGAAGAACAGCGGCGTATTCATAGCAGCAGAACATATTGACCAAATTTCAGGTAGGCAGCATATATTTAAAGCTCACATTCTGGATTTTCATCCTCTTTCTTATGTATTTTTGCCAGTAAGTCCTTTTTGCAACAGTATATAAATTTACCCGATGTGATCAGGTATCATATGCAAAATGTAATAAAGACTCCTATAATGAAGATTTAAACTATAGAAGACATAATTGAAGTTAAAGCATCTGCCATGAATTTTAGAACACCTCTACTGTTATAGAGTGTGGGATATCTATTTAAATTTGGGAAAACCTGGCATGAATTAGTTTAAAGAGAAACATATTTTGAATTTTTCTGTAATTTAGACACCCTAAAAAACAAAATTTGCCACAAAAAATGCTATACAGTATACTGTAAATTATTTATGCTTAAGGAAGTGAGTACAATTTTGAAACTCTTGACTTTCAATAAATTATGCTGAGGGTCACTCACATATTTTTTGTAAATTAGTGTTGAAGGTTAAATTAAACCTTAAATATTTTAATCATTTTGTTTGCTTTTAAATTAGGTGTTCATTTTGGAGTGAAAAAATGTACGCAGTATATTTAGCAAGATTATTGGGCACTATGTATGTAGATGTGGTAACTACTGCAGACGATGTGAAAAATGTACTGAAGTTGCGTGTCTGTTCCGTGACCTTTACAAACAGAAAATGGAGATGACGGAGTGATGTGATGTTCAGAAGATCACGATCTGCAAACTGACCGAATTATTCGTGTTTGGAAAAAGGATAAATAAAAAGTGTTCAGGCTTTTTTTTTTTTTTTTTTACAGTTAAATGTCTCAGTATATTTATAATACATGTTTTTATGAATTCTTCCTCTATAAGCCAAGTGTGTTGTAACAGGTGACTAAAATGCTGGAGCAAGGAGTTAAAAATGCCTTCTGTACAAATTACTAAGTTTAAAAACAAAAAACTTTCGGTTTTTTTCTCTTCAGGTCACCCCGCCTTGGTGGGATACCCCGGTTTGTTAAAAAAAAAAAATCATGCATTTTTTCATTCCAGAATTTTGTATGGTAAATCCAACTCACTTTTCAAACAGTTTCATGTAAGACAGTCTGATGTACATCTGGGCATTGAAAATTTGATAAATCTGTTACAAATAAAATTCAACAGTCTGTTTTAAAATTTTCTTTCAGAAGAGGTTGACCGTCATTAATCAAAGCTATGGTGCTGAGTGCTTAACATGGCTAAGGGACTGACCACCTCAGAATCACTTCTTTAGGGCTGAGTAATGATCATCTCATAGTTACTCTCAACCACTTATGTTGTCTCAAGTGTTTGTCACCTCTGTATTTTGACTGAAGAAGCCTGCTGAGCAGGCCAAAACATCTTGTCCATAAGGATACCCGACTGTTGATATGTATCTTATCCAAAATCATCTAGCCTTGACATGACCACTCTCTTCAACTAGGTACCAGTTCTAAGCCATTGATCTACACAGGAAAAAATTTATGATTTTCCTTGGTTTACCTATCTTTCAATGACTTTGTAGACCTTATTGAATTATACATTAGTTTCAGTTATTTCTTCCGAAGCTTCCTCTGTCAAACAGAGCTTTGACTTACTTATGGGATTACTTTAAGTCAGTCTACACAAATCTGTGTGTGAAGAGTCTCATTTCCCTTTTTCAGACTTGACTTTATGTTGACAACATGTTGATTATTTACACTGAGAAGATTGGATGGCTCTGCCCGCCAAAGGTAAACTCCAAGCAGATTGTATCTTACATACATTTTTAGAACCAGTGATACACTTCCTTTCCTAGATATTTTATTTTGCAACTTGGCAGCAAATTTTTTTTCAAGGTTTATTGG